GATAGCAGCCATGGCGGGTAGGGAGCTAAGAAGAGTTTCAAGAGGGAAGGTGACAGGGCCAGATTTGTGTTTGAAGGAGTGCCCTCTGGTGGCAGATAGAGTAGACTGCAGGGAGACCAGCAGGGGCTGAGGCTGTGGGTGAAAAATGAGCATGCCTGAATCAGGAAGATGGGAGGAGGGCAGAGAGGGGGTGCAGGAGGTAGACTTGCCTGGCATGGGGCTTAATTGGCCATGGGGAGTGAAGGAGGAAGAAGGTGCAGTCTGGGGGGATTTGCACCTGGGGGTTCTGGGTAAGGGGACCTGGAGCTTAGTGGTGCTGGTCACCAAGATGGAGCAAGTTGGGGTTGGATGGTGATGACCTCAGAACTGGACAGACTGAAATGGTATACGTTGAGGTGTTCCATGGGCTATGATGATGTGTGACCACTGTCCAGCAAGCGGGACACATACGTTGGGGTTCGAGAGGACGCACTGAGGTGACTCTACATGGGGATGGAGGCGCGCCAGACAGGGAAATGGGAGTAGACAGGGTGGTCCTCATGGAGGGGGGAGGCACTGTCAAAGCCCTGGGGCTTGGTTTAGGCTCAGAGCTCAGGGTCCTGGGGATGGAGGGTAAGTACAAGATTAGTCCCAAAGGGAAGTTCAGATAGGAACACGAGCTCAGGGCTGACGCTGGGGAGGGCAGCTAAGGCTTTGGGAGGAGGGCTGCTGCAGGGGCATCTCCTTGGTGGCAGGCAGCATTGAGATGTGTTGGTTAGTTATGTTCAGAGGTGGGCATGGGCCAGGGGTGTCCGGAAGGCCCCTCGATTCCATTGTGACATAATTTCCTGAAGCCACTTAGCACTTGTTTTCCCAAAGGACCCTAAATTAAGGATTTCACGGCTCAGCCAAGCCACGGAGCCAAACACTTAGTGAAAGCTGCTGTGGGAGCAGCCCGTGAGCCCAGTGGAGCAGGGCCAAGTCAGTCACTCCTCCCCATCAGGGAGTGGGGCTCTTCTCATAAGGAAGGGACCTGGAAGGGAGCAGGTTGGTCCCCAAGGCTGCGAGTTTCCCATCCTGGACCCTCCATGAGAGCTCAGCTGGGGAGGAGGTGGGAGAAGACAAAGAGATGTTGCTGAAATGATGCCCAAATATAACTCCAGTCCCCTCCCATCCTGATGAAGGCTGCTGAGAGCACCCTAGGCAGTCGAGGACCAGCTCTGCCACTCCCAAATTCTGCGCCCCTGGACCATTTCTTCCAGGAGGGTCATATCAGGAGTGGACATCTCCTGGCAGGCTAGTCTCTGGGTGGAGTTATCTGTAGCCCATACAATCCTGTTCATCCACCGCTTATGCACGCACCATGGACAAGGGTGGAAGGTGAGGGTGGGTGGTGGTGAGGGTGGGTGGTGGTTTGATGTCACCTGCCAAGCAGAAGATGTAGACCTATGCTCAGGACGCAGGGGTCCTAGGAGGTAGCAGAAGCTTGGGTGCCTGCAGATGAGTAGGGTTTTGAATTCCATCTGAAAATCCCCGGAGCCCTCTCTCCTTGTCTCTGCCTGCCTTCTGAGTTGTTTTTGGCCAAGTTCTGATTTGGGAAGCCATTTACAGCCCATTAAAAGATCAAATGTCTAGAGATGATGAATTGAGGCATTTGAAAATGATGAATTGAGGCATCCGAAAATGTTTTCCAATTCACAGCTCATTTCCCTATAGAAAGCCCTGACCTAGTGTGATTCAGAGGTGGTTGGAAAGCCTGTCTGTTCTGGACCGCCAGGGGCAATCTCGGGGTGGAGCACTGTCCTTGGATGGGACAGTAGTTCATCCTGAAGAGAACTGCACCGAGATGGCGCTGATGCTCCCTGGTAGAGATGAAAGAAGAGCTCGTGAGGGCTGCTGATGTCTCTTGCACATCTTGCACAAATTCCAGACCCAGTTTCCCTGAGTAAACTGGCAGAGGCAGGAGTCTTGGTTTGTAGGTGGGACCCTGCTGGTCGTCTGGCAGGAAGGCTGGATTCCCTTCCCAGCTCGGGTTTCAGCTAATGGCAATGAAGTTTAACCTCCCAGTACTTCTTTTCCCATCTGCAAAATAGGAAGGACAATCCTTAGGCTCTTATGAACATCGTGGGTTTTCAGTAGCCAGATAATCAGTAATGATATCTTAGGGTATATAGTGATGCACTGTTTATACTATTAACCTGGATGTGCTCATTTAATCTTCACAATAACCTTGAGAGGTAGAATTTTTCATTTAACTGAGGCTCAGAGAAGGGACATCTCTTTGCTGAAGTCACACAACAGGTTGGTGGCAGAACCAGATTTTGAACTAGGTCTCCTGGTGCTTTTGTGGAGAGGGATGGACTTTTGACTACTTTCTCATTTTCTTCTATGGTATTTTTTACTGTGCCTATTAGTAATATATATTTTCCTAGAAAACTGTCAAGATTTTGAAACTTTTTTTTTAAAGATTTTTATTGGGGAATTGGGGGATGAGAACAGCGCTGGGGAATTGGGGGAAGGGGAACAGAAAAGTTGCTGTCCTTTTGTTCTTCAGTCTAGTTGTGATGGACGTTGCTTCACTGGCCCAAGTTGGCACCATCATTGCGCTCTTCCCGGGCGAGGCAGATCAGTCGCTGGCTTCTGGATGGCCGGTCACGGCGGCTGCTGGCCACTCACGCTGGCTGCTGGCCACACACGGTAGCCCATGGCAACCCACTGCAGCAGGGGCTGCAGCCCAGCTGTCGCTGTCGCCGGCAACTCATGGCAGCCCAGCTCCAAGTTGAGCTGTTGGTCAGCATCTTAGCTGTAGAGGGCAGTGTCACTGGCCCTCATATGTAGGATATGAATGGGGCCCTCTGACGTCCCAAGCCAGCTCTTAACCAACACGCCACTCGGCCAGCCCTTGAAACATTTTGATGTGAGACCATATATATTTCATTTGTTTTACTTTTTTCTTTTGTGCTTGGTCAGTTTTGTGTCCCCTTTCTATCCTTGATAGTATTTATCCTCAACTTCAAAAATATATTTAATTGTGTATTTTTCTACTACACCTAAAGTTGCACAGCTTCTATATCCTTTCCTTAAACATGACAAAAATTTCAGCAACTTTTAGTTCCTTCTGTCCCCCATACAACTTCCCCTCTTTGCTATCTTCCATATTGCAATCATCTTGGATTTGAGATCTAAGCTGTTATTAAGTCTTATGATTGTTTTGTTGTTCATAGCTGCTTCTCACATTTAATATATTCCCCCTATGTCCTTTATCTTATTTTTCTGGAATATATCCTCTAGTAGTTCTTTCAGAAAAGGCAGCTGATGAATTTTCTAATTCCTTGTGCATCTTACAATTTCTTTATCTCACCTTTGCCTTTGAAGGAGGTTTGCCTGGGTATAGAATTCTGGGTTCTAAATATGTCCCCTAGGAACTTTGAAGTAATTGTGTCACTATTTACTGATAAGAAATCTAATTTCAATTGATTGTAGATAATGTTTTTCTTTTCTTTCTACAGCATTTAATAGTTTCTCTTCATCCTGAGTATTCTGAAATTGAACCACAATCTGTCTGTTTTTGTTCATCTTGCTTAGCACTCAGTGGTCCCTTTCAAATTAAGAATGCATGTCTTTATTTAGCTCTTGGAAATTTTATTATTTCTTCAGCTACATATTCCCTTTGCTCTCTCTGATCTCCCCTTCCAGAGCTACTAATAGATATATATTGGAACTTGGTCTGCCTCCTAGGTCCCTCACCTTTGCTTCCACATTTTCCATTTCTTTTTTTCTTTGCAGTGCATTCTTGGAAAGTTCACGGCTCAGATTTCCAGCTCATCAGCTCACTCTTTAGCTCCGTCCATTCGGCTTTTCAAACCATCTATTGAGCTTTTTATTTTCATAGCCATACATTTCATTTCCAAGATATCTAACTTTTTATTTCATAATATTTTTTATGAGTGAAAAATTCTATTATGATTTAAAAATTATCTCCATCTATTTGCTTTACTGTTTTCCGCTGAGGTGTGATTTAGTCTCTGTCGAGTTGGTGGCTTTTCATGGTGTGGCATTTTTTCTCAAAAAAATTAGAAATTCCTTGTACTTGGGGTTTTCCATTAACTTGTCTCTGTATCTCTGTTTACTGCCACTTTGCCTCCTGGAGGGTTAGTGGTGTAAGTGAAGGGTAGAGAGTGTGCAAGAGTTCAGTTGTCTGACCTTGAGAGGGTCCCAATTTCTCCCGGAGGTCATCAGCTTTTTAGGCACTCTGATCATATCTGCCTCAAAACAGGTGAGTCCCATGCCTGATTCTTGACACCAGCAGGGATGGGGATCTGGGTCCTAGCTGCCTGGCTCCTTCCACTGTGGTCCTCTGACAGTCACCTCAGACCCACCCAAGTCAGAGTCCTTCGGTGGCTTCCCACTGATTTCATGGTAAGACCCACATCCCACCTGGCAGGCACCATGCCTGTTTCTTTCTCCTGGCTTCTCCCCTTCCTCCAGCCTTTGGGTCATGTCTACCTGCATGCAGTTCTCTGTGAGGTAGATGCATACCATGGGTCTCTCACCTTCGTACCTCTGCTCCCTCCTCTGCTAATGCCACCCCGCTCATTACTCTCACACTTTTGGTCAACTGACTCTTATCTTTCAGGTGGTTGGCTTTCTTAGGACCTGGGTGGGTGCCCTGCTCTGTTTCCAGAGCTCCCTTGCTCAGGATGTGGTTGTACCTCTGACCCCGTGTTCCTGTGGGATGTAATCATCTCTTTGTCTGTCTTCCCCACCAGAATGGGATTTCCCAGCAGGCAGGGGTACAGTGTTCTTCACTGATTCCACATGGAGTGTTTGATGACTGTAATGATGCCAGGGTTTTGTGGCCAAGGGGGGTGGGTATGCTCCCTTCCCCTTAGACATGGACAGAAGGCCTCAGTGGGCCCCTTACCCAAGAGGACAACACCCCTAGGCTTGTAGGAGCGCCTTTTGACCCACAGTGGGCACCTCAAGAACAAGCAGTGCTGATGTGACTGTTCTCCCCACAGGCACTGGTGCCATCACACAGTGACACGGACGGTGTCCTGCCAGGTGCAGAACGGCTCGGAGACAGTGGTCCAGCGTGTGTACCAGAGCTGCCGGTGGCCCGGGCCCTGTGCCAACCTTGTGAGGTAAAGGCTGCTGGGCCGGCTGGCTCTGCCCTTCCTTTCTTTTTCCTTGAATGAATCCAACCTCAGCACAGCTGCCAGGGAAGGCGTGGCGGGTTGATGCTCAGAAACAAGTGTTGAACATGCATTTATGAAGCTCCTTTTGTATACAGCGCATGGGGGGTGTATGTGTGTGCAAAGATGAAAGGGACTTGCTCCCCACCCTGACAGAATCTTCCAGTCCAATGGTGGATGAGTATGGTGAGGGGATACGGGGTGGGGTGGGGGAAGGGACCAAGTGAGGCTGAAGAGGGAACCAGTCTACCTTGGGGTTCCAGAAGAGAATGTGGGCCTCTGATGCCCTTGGAAGTCTAGCCTGCCTCCAGCCCTGCCTCTCTTACCAATCCCGCCCCTCTCATAGCTCTACCCTCTTACCACCCCTGCGCCCTCACCAGCTCCACCCTGGACCAAAGCTTTTTAGTGGCTCTCAGCATTCACAGGGAAAAAATTCTTTTCTTTCTTTTTTTTAATTAATTTAAAAAATTTTTAAGTTACAGTTGACATACAATACTATATTTGTTTCAGGTATACAACATAGTGATTAGACATTTATATAACTTATGAAGTGATCACCCTATTATGTCTAGTACCCATGTGATACCATACATAGTTACTACACATTATTGACTATATTCCCTATGCTATACTTTATATCCCTGTGACTATTTTTATAACTGGCAATTTGTATCCTTCACCTTTTTCAACTATGCCCCCAACCCTCCCTCCCATCTGCCAACCATCAATTTGTTCTCTGTGTCTATGAATTTGTATCTGTTTTGTTTGTTTTCTGTTTTAGATTCCACATAGAAGTTAGATCGTACAGTGTTTTTCTCTATCTGACTTATTTCATTTAGCATAATACCCTCTAGGTCCATCCACGTTGTCTCAAATGGCAAGATTTCATTTTTTTTATGGCTGAGTAATGTACCATTGTGTGTGTGTGTGTGTGTGTGTGTGTGTGTGTGTGTGTATATATATATATATATATATATATATATCTCACATCTTTTTTAGCCATTCATCTATTGGTGGGCAATTGGGTTGCTTCCATATCTTGGCTATTGTAAATAGTGCTGCAGTGAACATAGGGGTGCATATATCTTTTCAACTTAGTGTTTTGGATTTCTTTGGGTAAATACCCAGAAGTGGAATTGCTGGGTTATAAGGTAGTTCTATTTTTAATTTTTTGAGGAACCTCAAAACCACTTTCCATAGTGGCTGCACCAGTTTGCAACCCCATCAACAGTGCACGAGGGTTCCCTTTTCTCTGCTTCCTCACCAACACTTGTTTGTTGATTTATTGATGATAGCCACTCTGACAGGTGTGAGGTGGTACCTCATTGAGATTTTAATTTTCATTTTCCTGATGACTAGTGATGTTGAGCATCTTTTCATATGTCTATTGGCCATGTGTATCTCCTCTTAGGAGAAATGTCTATTTAGGTCTTCTGCCTATTTCTTAATCGGATTTTTGTGTGTGTGTGTGTGTTTGTGTTAAGTTGTATGAGTTCCTTATATATTTTGGATATTTACCCCTTATCAGATGTATCATTGGTGAATATCTTCTCCCGTTCAGCAGGTTGTTTTTTCGTTTTGTTGGAAATTTCCTTCGCTGTGCAAAAACTCTTTAGTTTGATGCAGTCTCATTTGTTTATTTTTTCTTTTGTTTCCCTTGCCTAAGGAGACATATCCAAAAACAATATTACTAAGAGTGATGTCAAAGAGTTTACTGCCTATGTTTTCGTATAAGAGTTTTATGGTTTCAGGTCTTACATTTAAGTCTTTACTCCATTTTGACTTCATTCTTGTATATGGTATAAGAAAGTGATCCAGAGTCATTCTTTTGCATGTATCTGTCCAGTTTTCCCAACACCATTTACCCAATTTTGTATTCTTGCCTCCTTTGTTATAGATTAAATGACCATATAGGCATGGATTTCTGGGCTCTCAATTCTGTTCCATCAATCTTTGTGTCTGTTTTTATACCAGTACCATGCTGTTTTGATTACTATAGCCTTGTATATAGTTTAATATCAGGTAGCATGATACCTCCAACTTTGTTCTTTTTTCCATGCTTCGGCTATTTTGGGTCTTTAGTGATTCTATGTAAATTTTAGGATTATTTGTTCTAGTTCTGTGAAAGATGCCATTGGTATTTTGATAGGGATTGCATTGAATCTGTAGATTGCTTTGGGTAGTATGAACATTTTAATAATGTTAATTCTTTCTGTCTATGATCATGGTATATTCTCCCATAAATTTGTATCTTCTTCTATTTATTTCTTCAATGTCTTATAGTTTTCCCAGTACATGTCTTTTAACTCCTTGGTTGAATTTATTCTTAGATATATTTTATTGCAATTGTAAATGGGATTGTTTTCTTAATTTCTCTTTCTGATAGTTTGTTATTGGTATATAAAAATACAACTGATTTCTGAATATTAATTAATGTGTCCTTATTTTCATCATTTTTTAATAGTAGAAGTTCTTAAGTTGGGATCCCCATTGTATGCAGTGTTTTTGTATAGCTTGTTTTGCAAGGGGAATGGCTAAGTAAGTGGATATGTGAGTCTATTTCAAATCTTTAGACAAAGGACTGCTTTTAAATGCTATGCTAGAGGGATGGCCACTGGCTCCATAGTGATGAAAAAGATACTAACCCTCCTCCCCCTTCCTTTTCTTTTTTGTTTTTTAAGATTTTATTTGGGGAATTGGGGAAGGGGAACAGCCAAGTTGTTGCCCTTCAATCTTAGTTGTGGAGAGCGCAGCAAGCTCAGCTCCAAGTCCATCGTGCTGCTCACCTCAAGGTGCTGTGTTCAATCTTAGCTGCAGGTGGGCATAGCCACCATCCCATGCAGGAGTCGAACCAGCAGCCTCGTTGTTAAGCGCCCACGCTCTATCCACCCACGCCCGCCTTCCTTTTCAACAGAGGGCACAAAGACCCTCTCTCTCTCTTCCTTCCCTACGACCCCAGCAACTGAATTCCGAGGCCCTCTTGCCTTTCTCATCGGCAGGGAGCTTCAGATGACCAGATGATCACCCCTTGATCCTGGGAACATCTTTTGAGAATGGTATTTGGAGTCCGGTCTGTAAGTGACCCTAACAGGGTGGACTTTGGCTGCTAGCTCTGTTTGAGGAGTGGCTGCTCTGCTCTTTAAACAGGGAAGCTGGCTGGCCCTGGAATGTGTGCCACCAAGAAGCAAGGCTACACTTCTGTGTCACAGTTCCGACTCCTGCCAGCCTTGCTTTTATCTTTTTTCTTTCTTTCAAAGATTTTATTGGGGAATTGGGGGAAGGGAACAGCGTTAGGGAATTGGGGGAAGGGGAACAGACAAGTTGCTGTCCTTTTGTTCTTCAGTGCAGTTGTGGAGGATGTCACTTCACTGGCCCATGATGGTATTATGATCATTGCACTCTTCCCAGGTGAGGCAGTCGTTCGCCGGCCATTGGACGGCAGCTCACGGTGGCTCACGCCCGCTGCTGGCCAGTCCCACTCCAGCCCACGCCGTCGCTGGTGCCTCACAGCAGCCCAGCTCCAGGTCGAGCTGTTGTTTACCATCTTAGCTGTAGAGGGCAGCGTCACTGGCCCTCATGTGGGATCTGAACCTGGGTCGTGCTGCTCAGAGCTGGTGTCCCAAGTCAACTCCTAACCAACGTGCCACTCGGCCAGCCCAGCCTCACTCTTTTCAACGCATAGAATTTGACTTCCGCAAACTAATATTGTATTCGGAGTCGAGACATAAACACGAAGAGTTGTGTGTTTCTGTTTTCTCTTTATAAATTTTAGCCAAATTGGACATTAGTTACAATCCCATATGTTTGGTGTGCCCCATAGTCAGCTATCAAGGTGGAAGCAAAAATGTGCATGTGCACACATGCATAGGTACACACACACATGCACGTGCATACCATTGTATTGCATTTGGTTTCAGAAAATGAACTTTAGGATTTCCTTTACTGAAAACCCTTAGAAGGAAGGAAACGGGGCTGGCTTTCTTTCTTTCTTTCTTTCTCTCTCTCTTTCTTTCTTTCTTTCTTTTTAATTGGGGAATTGGGGGATGGGAACAGCACTGGGGAGTTGGGGAAGGGGAACAGACAAGTTGCTGTCCTTTTGTTCTTCAGTCTAGTTGTGGAGGACGTTGCTTCACTGGCGCAAGTTGGCACCATCATTGCTCTCTTCCTGGGAGAGGCAGATCAGTCACTGGCCTCTGGATGGCCACTCACTGCAGCTGCTGGCCACTCATGCTGGCTGCTGGCTACACATGGTAGCCCATGGCAACCCACTGCAGCAGGGGCTGCAGCCCATGCCGTCGCCGGCGACTCAGGCAGCCCAGCTCTAGGTCGAGCTGTTGTTCAGCATCTTAGCTCTAGAGGGCAGTGTCACTGGCCCTGATATGTGGGATCTGAACTGGGGCCCTCTGGCGTCCCAAGCCAGCTCTTAACCAACGTGCCACTCGGCTGGCCCAGGGCTGGGTTTCTTAATGTCAAAATTACAAGTTGAGATTTTTGTACTTTCTAAATACAGTAATGCACCTTTAAGAAAAGCTGAACAAGCTAACTACTGAATTGCTGACATCGGCTCAAAAAATTTCCAATGATCATTAATTTTCACAGCTGCCCTTTGCTTTATGTCTTAAGCAATTATCTGAACACTGTTTCAGAAGCCTCAGGGTCTGGTGTCCTCCTTGTGGGGGTTTACAGGCCTTTCAGGGGGTTCTCTCCCTCTCCTTGGAGTCAGGAACTGAGAACAGGATGTTCCTCAGAGCAGACATGCATTCGTCATCAGCCTTCTCTTTGCCCTCAAAACTTAGCAGGGATTTTGTTAAGTAGGACTTAATTTCCATTCTTTTGGAGGAATTCCATACTCCTAGTCTTAATTATCGTTGTTACTTTTGTTACTATCATTTATTAAGGGAGGAGGGGTTAATACACTTTTCTTTCTCGCCAGTAACTCATAGTTAAGT